AAAAAAAAAAAAAGCCACAACTGTCAGCATTATTTTATTAAAACTAAAATTTCAAAAGCTAAGAGCAAACAGCAGCAATTGCTTGAATGTACCCTACAAAATGGACAAGAGAGAATCAAGTAAGATAATGTATGCAAGTGCTCTGTAAACCACAAAATTATACAAACATGAGTTACCACTGTTAACAACTTTATTAATTTTCATCACCTAAGAATTTTTTTCCAATTCTAAATTTTCCAAATTTCCAAAACTTATTTTTCTAAATTTTGTGTATACCAAATAATTCATCTTACCTATTTTCTTTTTTTGTTGTCGACCAGCTGACTCTGTTATTGTTTCCTTCTTCTTTTCCACTGTAAACAACACAGTAACAGTAAAAATTAATTATGCATTATACTAAAGAAATGAAGGATGCTTTATCACAGCTGAACCAATGAAAGAAGCTCACAAGAAAGTTACACACTGCCTTTCATTATGGTCCTGAGCAAGTCAACCGATCTGCTCCCACAGCTGCTGACAGAAGGCAGACACAACAATCTAACACTAAGACAACGACACTGGAAGCATCGTCACTCAAACACCCGTAAAGGATTGCATAAGGACGCAATAATAGTAACTACTGAAACATAATAAAAACTAAGATGGCTTTCAGACCATCAGCTGAGGGTGACTGCCGTAGGTTGAGTCTAAGCACAATTTTCAAATTCTGCTCTCTCAGATAACTAAGGTTAATTATAGTTCCACTCTCATATTCACTATAGAAGGTAGGAATTCATTTATTCACCTATTGGTGCCTAAGTAATTGGCATTGTTCTAGGTAGATAAAAAGATAACCATGATCCTTGCCCTCTAAAGAGTAATCTAGTGAGGGCAGATAATTGAATAACAATTATAACACAGAAAACTGGCAAGACAGACATATGCGTAGGGTAGGGAGATCAAGAGAATCAAAAAAGCTAAACCCAGGGCACCTGGCTGGCTCAGTCAGCGGAGCATGCAACTCTTGATCTCGGGGTTGTGAGTTTGAGCCCCACATTGGGCATAGAGATTACTTAAAAACAAACAGACAGAAGAAGCTAAGACCAACTTCTTTGAATGCATTTCAATTACTATGATGATAGAGTAAAAATAACCTTGTAAAGAGAAATAATGTAATATATTTATATTTTATATTTACTATCTTTCATCTATATACCTATCATAGTCCACCTATTAATGGACTAAGAATAGGTATGTCAAAAATTACCTTTACTTAGTTTATTTACATTCTTTGTTCTGTATAATATCTTAGCATACTTCCTTTACTAGCAAACAGTACAGTACATGTATTATTTCTAAAAGTTGCATCAAAGAGAATTGGCAGGTAAGACTTTTTCTCTTAGTACATTAATTATGCTACCTGAATTCTAAAATTGGTATTACTACTTTAACAAAGAGATGTAAACTTCGATTTGACTCCAATATTGCAAGTGAAACAGTAAAGTGCTGACTAAAATAAAATGTCTGTGTGTGTTTGTAGTTTCAATATATGCACTGGTGTCTAAGTACCATACTCTTTTATGCAAATAAAAATATAAAACATGACATATACCTATGGGGGAGAAAGACATTTAGAGTGAACCTACTAGTATGAGATCATAAAAGGAAATTAAATCAAATTCTACAAGATGTTACCGAATAACATTTTAAAAAACAAAACCGACAGAAAACACTGAATGTTTTACTCTTTATCATTACTATTAACCAAAGAAACAAAAATTTTTCTTTCCCTTCCCAGAAGGACCATAACATAACTACTTAGCACTTAACCATAACTGCATAAAAAACAAGAAGGCTAGAGAACAGAAACATAAGATGGTACTGTGAACATTAACCTGGTCTTCTAGGGCACTGGACTGAGGCTAGATAAATCTGTTCTAAGGAGACATCTATGGATAAAGTAGAACCCATAATAGGAAGATCTGACCTTTCTGAAAGACTAAATAAGGTTTTGAGAGCTAAAGGATGAGTAGGAGTTTACTAGACAGAATGAGTAGGAGTTTACTAGACAAAAAGAGAAAGGAAAGTTATTCCAGTTAGAGGGAAGAGCAGATAAGGCCTGGGCCCACAGTAGGAAAAAGACTAGTCCAGAGGATGGAAAAAGGGCCCGAGTGGCTAGAGAATAGACAGCAAGGGATAACCTGATACAGGATGTAGTTGCAGGGGAAGGGAAGAGGCACCAGACCATGCTGGACCTTGCAAGCCCCATCTTTATCCGAAAAGCAATGGGGAAAAACAAAGTATTTTGAGAAGAGCAAGTAACATAAGATTTGTGTCTTAAAAAAAAAAAAAATTACTTTGGATGTACTGTAGAGAATAAATCTGAGTGGCTGCAGGGAGACCAATGAGGAGGCTACTGCAGTAGATCACAGGAAACATGACAGACGTTTAGACTACGTGGTGGCGGCAGAACTGAAGAGATGTGGAGAGATCGCAAACTTTCCTGGAGGAGAACAGTAACAGGGCTTGATGGTGGACTGCACATACAGGGTGAGAGAAAAAAGTATTCAAATCAGCAAATATTTATTGAACATTTACTATGTGCCACTGTTCTAGGTGCACAGGATATATCAGAACAACAACAAAAACGCTTTCCTAGTGAAGCTTTCATTTTAGCAGGTGGAGATAAACAATAAACAGTAACACAATACATAAATAGATCATATAATACATTAGAAAGTGACAAGAGCCATGGGGGGAAAGATGGAGCAGGGTAGGGGCACCTGGGTGGCTCAGTCGTTAAGTGCCTGCCTTCAGCTCAGGTCATGATCCCGGGGTCCTGGGATCGAGCCCCACATTGGGCTCCCTGCTCAGCGGGAAGCCTGCTTCTCCCTTTCCCACTCCCCCTGCTTGTGTTCCCTCTCTCACTGTGTCTCTGTCAAATAAATAAATAAAATCTTAAAAAAAAAAATCTGATGTCAATCCTCTGCTTATGTCCTTTAATGGTTATGGAAAGATGGAAAGCCTTCTGGATACAAGTTAAACTCATTACCTTAGTTTAATTTATAAAGATCTTTATGAACAGGCTCTACTTATCTCTCTAGCCTCATGTGTCTATACTTTATACATACCTTCTTTTGTTTGTTATACTAAACTATTTATAGTTCCAGGTATACACCTTGCTATTTGATCCCCCCATAGTTTTGTATATGCCTGTCCTGCCTAGAATGTTTAGGGCTTAAAATTGGATGCTAAAGTAACAAATGACCAGGAACAAACCCCTTCTCTACCACTAACTTAATCCCATCTATCACTGAATGACTGACTGAGGGCAAATTACTTAATTCAAGCTTCATTTTTCTCACCTATAAAAATGAAGTAACACCCTTCACTACTACATACAATTAATTGTTAAGAGAATTCTAAAACACGTAAAGTGTTTACCTCAGTGTGTTGCACATGGTAAGTGCTCAATAAATTTTGACCACTATTTTATTTATTTATATTTTTATTTAAGTAATTCACACTAAAGCTTCAAGATTCAGTATTATCTCTTCAAGAAAACCTAATCCCCTAGTTTGGTTTAGATATCCTTTCTCTTTACTTTTTTAACACTCAGAATATATCTCTACGAACACACTTACCATACTGCACTGGTCTGTTTTCCCTCTCTAGACAGACTTCCTAATAGAATTTTTTCTACTTTGTTTCTCTATGACCCACCAGAGCAACTGACACAGAGTAGACATACAATAGCATTCTACCACAGAACTAAATGAGTAGGCCATTTAGAAAACATCGGAAACACTAAATTCAAAAGCTTTAACCAGAACAGGATAGTGGCATAGTCCAGCCCAGAAGAATTCCCTTCTAGGATATAATGGCAGTGACGTACGTAGAGACATAGTTTCTGAACAAAACACACAGTTTCACAGTTTTTTTCCTAATCTCAGAATCAGGAAGCATCATAAAATATAAATATAAATCATACCTAATCATTATAAATTGTCTTTTTGGAACAGAATTACATTCTGTAATTAAGCTCTAAATTACACTGAAAAACCAGAAACATGTCATTCCTTTTCAGACCAGATAAAAATTACTCAGCAGTAAATTTCCTACCCTCTGGTGGATTTCCATCACCAGTCAATTCTCCATAAGGAAGTCATGGCAACAACACAAGTAACTCAGCCTTAACTGGAAATAATCATCTCAGATATGAAAAAAAAATACACTTTTACAAACTGTGCCAAGAATCCTCAGCCAAATTCAAAAGCCACAACTGTC